ATTTTTTAGAAGAATTGATAAATTATGACTTATCAAAATGAAAAACTTCTGTTCATCAAACATTCCACTAAGTTAAGGAAAGATTGAGAGATATACTCTCTCTTTTTCACACACACACACACACACACACACACACACAGAGCAATATACATAAAGAACACTTATAGTTCAGTAACAGAAAGAAACATTCCCTCATCCAAAAAAATGAGCAAAAGATTTAAATAAAGACTTCACAAAATAAGATAGGAATAGCTTAAAAACATAAGAAAAAATATTCAGCATCACTGGTTATCGAACAATGAATTAAAACCATGATGATATACCACTGCTCATCTGTCAGATGGTTAAAATTAAGACAACATCAAATGCTGGTGAGGGGGTGGAGCAACATAGGTATAATATATTCTTGATTGAAGAATAAAATGATACAACCATTTTAGAAAATAAGTGGGCAATTTTATTTTATTTATTTTTTTTCTTCTCATTTTTCTTTTATTATTCATATGTGCATACAAGGATTGGTTCATTTCTCCCCCCTGCCCCCACCCCCTCCCTTACCACCCACTCCGCCCCCTCCCTCTCCCCCACCCCAATACCCAGCAGAAACTATTTTGCCCTTATTTCTAATTTTGTTGTAGAGAGAGTATAAGCAATAATAGGAAGGAACAAGGGTTTTTGCTGGTTGAGATAAGGATAGCTATACAGGGCATTGACTCACATTGATTTCCTGTGCGTGGGTATTACCTTCTAGGTTAATTCTTTTTGATCTACCTTTCCTCTAGTACCTGTTCCCCTTTTCCTATTGGCCTCAGTTGCTTTAAGGTATCTGCTTTAGTTTCTCTGCGTTAAGGGCAACAAATGCTAGCTAATTTTTTAGGTGTCTTACCTATCCTCACCCCTCCCTTGTGTGCTCTCGCTTTTATCATGTGCTCATAGAAGTGGGCAATTTTAAATAAAATTAAGTACACATCTACCTTGGGACCCAGCAATTCCATGCCTAGGTATTTATTCAAAAAATAAAAATGAATGTCCATAAAAAATGTGAATAAAAATGTAGATAAAGGGGATAAAAGTGAGTTACAGAGGGGATTGAACTGTCCAAACTAGGGTATGTTCACAGCTGGAATACATTGAAAAACCCCTGAACATTGACTTTGGAATTAAAAATGAAAGACAGGACTGTAAAATAAGTACAGTGTGGCAAGGGTATTTGTGGGAGGCGAAGGGTGAATGAAGGACATGAAAGGTGAGAGAATATGGTTGATGGCTTCATATACGTATATGAAGTAGAACATGAAAACGTCTTGCAATTACTTTCAGTGGGGCAGGGATGGGGTTGCAGGAAGGAGATGGTGGGGTGATCTAACCAATGTACAATGTAAGCCTATTTGGAATTAGCCAATGAATTCCCCTGTACAATAAATACATGTTAATAAAAATGAACAAAAAAGAATGTGCAGAAAAGCCTTGTTCATAATTGCCAATAACTGGATACAATGTCCATCAACAGGACGATGAATAAGCCAATTGTGGGATATTCATGTAATGATAATAAGAAGGTAAAACTACTGATTCACATAACAAATCAGATGAATGTCAAATATAATGAGTAAAATAGGACTTTCATAAAAGACTACATACTACAGGACTCCAGAAAGGTCAAAACTAATTCATGATGGAATAAATTACGGCAGTCATTGCCTCAGAGCAGATTGCTGAAGTGAGGGATAGTGAGGGGAGGGTGATATGGAAAAACTATGGAGAAGCAAGATTTAACCTACTAGGATGACAATATCCTGTATCTTGAAAGAAGTTTAAGTAACATAGGTATACCCATTTGTCAAAACTCAGCAGACATATACATTTGATTTATACATTTCACTTTCTGTAAATTTTACCTTAAAAACCTGTAAGCAAATATTAAATTCCAGTTGAAATATATGCTGAGGTATTTAATGAAAAATGTTCAATATATTTTGAAAGACATTAAAAAAAAAGATAATTGCTGGTGAGATAGAAGACGTAGAAGAATTCAAACAAAATGGTAATGGTAGACTGTAGGTAGACACATACAGGTTGTTTGCTGTAGAAATCTGAGAGGGAGTTTTAAGTTTTCTTATATCAAATGCAGATCACATTCGATATAAACCTTCTGCTTCCCCAGGGTTTTCCAAACTACCCAATCCCATCTCAATGTTCCTTTCTACCACTTGGGGAATTTTCATTTTCAGCATCAATGAAAAAGAAATCTACTATGCTCCATTGCACATCAGAGTAACCAACACTTTAAAAAAAAAGTTATCATTAGAAAAACTGGAAACTATCTCCATAATTAAATGGTTATGGGAAAAACCTCATAATGTTCAGAGGCTATGACAGTTTAAGCAAAATAAAGGAAAAACATTAACTAATTTTTCTAAACCACCAAAATGGTTTGGATTTTGTCTCAATTTTAAGTGAAGATCAGCCAAACCAATTCATCCAGTGGAAAATTAAAACAAAATACATAATTATTAATATTTATTACACTCCCAGAACTAAGAAAATGGTTACCACTTAACATAACACTTCTGTAGAATGAACAGACACCTCCAAAGCAGGTTTCAACCCTGGTAGGCAAACAAGGGCACAATTAACAATATTAAAAAGATAAGAAAACTTGGAATAGCACGGTGATGCATACCTGTAATCCTAGCACTCAGGAGGCTAAGGCAGGAGGGTCTCAAATTCAAGGCCAGACTGAACTACATAGCAAGTAGGAGGTCAGGCTGGGCTATACAGTAGGACTGCACCTGAAAAAAACAAAAGATAAGGATAAATGCAAAGAAGTCTTTTATTTATAAACATACTTGGAATATATTTGCCCAATAATATTTAAATAGCCCCCAACTGAATCAGTACTATGTCTACCTCTGATAAAATATACGTAGATGAAATGGATAAATTCCAGAATAAACATTCCTAAAACAAATTTAAAAAGGAACAGGGAAGCTGAATGTTTCTATAGCTATTGAAAGTAAATTAATCATTAAGAAAAAAAAGCACCAAGAAGACAGCAAACCCAAACAGTTAAACAGTAAAGAAAAAGAATAAATGTTTTCCCTCAGTTTATTTTATGAAATTAGTATAACCTTATGTCAACATAAGAGAATTTACAGATTGATCTCACTCATAATAAATGCAAAATGTGCTGAATCAAATTATTTCCAGATTATATGTAATTAAAAGGTTTGTTTAATGAACACATGACTAGTTTAATTTTAGAAAAATCTATTAATTTATTAAAGACTGAAGGAGAAAAATGATATGATCATCTCATTTGTATAAAGAAAAAGTATTCAATGGTATTTAACAACTTGTGATAAAAACTGTTGGTAAGGCCAAAATAGAAGAGACATCCTATACATTATAAAGAGAGTCTATATGAAACTTCTGGCAAATATTATGCTCAGTGGTGAAAATTAGTACCATTGTCTATAAAATCACTAATACTGCAAAGATGTCCCTTATCTCCATTTTCAACACTTACTGGAGGTTTTGGCCAATGTGTATGAACACATTGAGAGCCACAGAGACACATATCATACAGAAAAATTTACAAGTAAGAAATAAAATACTATTGTTTTATTATTTTTACCAATTGCGTTCATAGAAAATCCTAAAGAATCCATACATTTATAAGCTATTAGAAAAAGAGTTCAGAGAGTAATTTCTACATCAGCTCACTTACACAAAAGCCAATTGCATTTATACGTAGCAATGTTAGAACTCACCATTTTAAAAAAGATACCACTTACAATAACCAAAAATTATAATTAAATTATAAAGAACTTTAATTCTCAATTCCTCTCTAAAACTAATGTATAGAACCAACATAATACCTTAAAATCCTACCACATTTTCTCACGGAATTCAAAACTGATTTTAAGATTTATATGAAAAAAAATGTCCAAAAATAGCTGTACAAGAAAAATTGGTGGGGAAGTAGGGAGCTGGAAAACTTTAACCACCAGATACTAAAATATAAAGTTATATTAAGATTATAGATTTGCTAGTGGAATAGAGTTCACAAGGGGACCCACATATACATGGAAATTCTTGTGCCCTGCTAGTGAGGACACAAATTGGTTACTAATATTCTAGAAAACATGTTGGCACTAGTAAAGCTTAATATATGCATTAATACTCCTATACAATACACAATAAATACTCTATAACCCAGCAATTCCATACATGAAAATATATCCTATTAAAAACTCTTACACATAAATACCAGAAGATATGTATAAGAATGGAATACTTCTTGGGATCAAAATTAGAAATTAACCCTAAAATTTATGATTAAAAATCACACAACTTCCAAAATTAATATTTATGGAGCACGTAAATTTTCTCTTCATGGACTTTTTAATCCATTAATTGCTAAATTCACTAATAAATATCAGTATTATTCTTTCGTAAACCCGGAGATAAGACATATTTCATCTCATGTTTTAGGTGAAGCATGAATCTCTTTTTGTTCACACTAACTTATAAAGTACAAATACTTATATGTACTTAATCACCAAAGACTATGTCAAGTATTTATAAAAGAAATCCTTTCTGAAGATTATTTCAATTTAATCAGGATTAAAAGGAAATAACTTTTATCCTTACCATCCTTGAATGAATAACCCAAGTTCTAATATCTTAATCACAAAATACACAGAAGGAAACAATAATATTGAAAGCCTAATATTCTATGGTCTTCCTTAATAACAACTCATTTTCAACAGACTATAATCTCTCAATAGAAAGCCTTCTACCAAGGATCTTAATCAGATTCTGAGAAAATTCACATTCAAAATAAACAATATGCCACTAACCCCAAAACAATGTAGGTATTAGCAGTTATACAAAAGGCTGGCCTCTATCTGATGAGTCATTTCTAAAATGATGAAAGTGTAAGTCTCTGAAGTGTTTTCTATTCAAGCTGGAAAATATATAAAGGCAGGGAATCATTTAGCAAGCAGGTCGACAGCGAAATTTTTCATTTCACACATTCTTGTTTGACTTTATGCAAACATTATATTAAGAATGGCAAAAATTAGTCTTTCTTCCTACATACTAATACTAACTTTTTCTTTGTTTTCTCAAGGTATTTTACTTTCAGCATCCAAGTCCATAAGAAATTTAGAAGATGACATGGTATTTAACACATTCAGGATGGGAAAAGCCTTTCAGAAGGAAGATACTGCAGAAAGATCAGATGTTGCACCTTCTCTGGAACAATATAAAAATGATGAGAGCAGTTTCATGAATGACGAAGAAAACAAAAATTCAAAGGTAAGTGACTTGTCTTTTATTGCAATGGAAATGTAAATGATTTATCATACAAAAAGTAAAATTGGTATTTTTATTTTATAGACAGAAATATACGCAAATATAGTCACAAGACGCATTAGGATAAATGATGAAATTTCTTATGTACCAGGTGGTTCTCCCATCTTTGAGAATACCTCTTATCCAAATAAGAAGTAGATATTTTTTCCCAATAAGTTCTTAAAGAGTCAAAAAAAAAAGTGCAGAACATTTTAGAATTGATCAATAAGATTGTCATATAATTACATTGTAGTCCCATTCTGAAGACAGCTAAACACAAATTAACCTCCTCTTTACAGAACACAGGCTCCAAACATAATTTCGTAAATCATGGTCTACCACTGAATTTGGCTATAAAGCCTTATCTTGCATTAAAAGGATCTGTAGCTTTTCCAGCTGATGATGGAGTTCAGAATAATGAATCAACACAAGAAAAGAGAGAAATTGGGGATGAAGAAAACTCAGCTAAATTTCCTATAGGAAGGAGAGATTTTGACAGTGAGTAGCCTCTTTAAAATTGAATTCTTATAGCCAAGTACCATAAAAAGAGTTCTGGGTTAATATAATCTAATAAAAACAAAATCCAGTAAGACTATGGTTCAATTCCACTTGATATTAAATGATGTCTGTCAAAAAATGTGACATTAAAAAGCATCTAGTATTTGCAATCTTGGTTTCCTCAAAATTAGTTAATAACAGGTCTATTTTTTTCTTAACTTTTTGTGATAATTATAGTCCTTTAAATAACTTAAACTTCTTTTTCCCTTCAGTGCTCAGGTGTATGCTGGGAAGAGTCTACCGACCTTGTTGGCAAGTCTGATACCTGTTGGTCTACATTGTCTTTTCAGAAGAAAAACTCATTTAATTGTCAGTGGAGGGGAAAAAAAAAAAACCTTATTGTTATTATAACTTGTGTGTTAGTTTAAATGTCTGTTTTTAAAAAGAAAGTAATGTTGACCTATACCAGTAATATAAATGATACACTTATCTGTGCATTAAACTTTATGAAAATTCTGCATAATTCAGTCTTAATGGTGTTTTTGAACAATGCTTAACACATGAAACTTACACACGCTTCAGACCAAAATAATAAATGTTTTAAAAGTTAAGTACATGGCTTTGGTGAATAGTTTTACAGAAACATAAATCTAAAATAAAGCTCATAAAACACAAAATCATAGTCTAAAAAACTGAGTTAACTTTGTCTGGCCAGTAATCAATTTGTTCTTGGCAGGACACTTATTGTCTCCTTTTGCTGCTTGAGTTAGTTTGCCCCCCAATTTATTCTGTGACTCGTTCAGTGTTTTGAGTATCTTAATGTTTTTATGTTGAGGTGGTTCATTCCCAGTATTGCTATCTAACGCCACCTGTTTCCTTTTTGAGCTTTCATTTCCTGTCTGACTACTTGATTTTCTTGATACTTTGTCACTTTTACTTCTGTCCAGAGGAACATTTCCAGAAGTTGTTTCAATTGTTGATTTTCCAACAGATGAATATACACTGCCTGTTATGCAAGATGAAAAGGGAGAAGGAATCAAACAATGTTTAGTATTACTACTCATGATAATTTTAAAAGAAACTTTAAAAATGGCTAAAGAGTATTGAAAAAATTTATAACCTATAATAATTCCAAGCAATGAAATGATTAACAAACACAGCTACATTATCACATTAGCTTTCATTTTACCATTCCACCTCGCATCCCTCCCAACAAATACTCATTTAAATATGTATATTTCATTTTTAAGAAAATGCTATGGATTGTTTATTCAAATTCATTTAGTTAAACAGTGTCCTATTCCTATCCATAATTTGTACTTAGATTTAACTTCTTAAATAAATCAATACCTAAAAAGGCTTTTTTTAATACTTTGCAAAAATAATCTAGTTTCACTTAAATTAAAACCAATGGAGGGACTGGGGACATGTCTCAACTGTAAGAGCACTTGCCTAGCAAGCACAAGACCATGAGTTCAATCCCTAGTACACTGCTAACAAACAAACAACAAAACCAAAATACATTGACAGATTAGCATTAAACTGTTACTTAATTGCCCAAATAGGGTCAATTACCAGAAAGGCCATTTTCCACACGAAGAACACAGGGAGGATTTGATGTTGAATCAATGTATTTCCAATTGTCCTTGCTTATCATGTAGTCATCCTTATAAGTACAAGCAAACTGGGATCTAATTAAGGATTGCTTCATCTAATAACAGAAAGAAGAAAATATGCAATTTTATTTTTTCATGTACATTGCATCGCAATCAACATATCCTTAAAATTTTCCCTTACAAATTCCATCATTCTTTGGGAACTTTTTAACCTTTAGGTTTCATAGTTTTCAAATACTCAGTCCTATGGCTAGCATTTTTGTTCTTTTCAGTAATACCAGTTTTACATGTATTTTTGATAATTTTTATAATAGTTATAAAAAGTAAATTTTAAACTCTTCAGAGGCTTTTGTTATGTATTCCTTTGGGCTGCTTTGGAGTGAGTTTTATATCAGTCAAAATAAAAATACACATGATATACACAATCATAGAAAAAACACAAATTCATTATCCTAAGAAAAACAGAGAACACAACTCTTGAAAGAAAACAAAGAACAGCACATGGAATTCAAGAAATTTAAAAAACTGGGGAAGGGAGGAATGCTAAGATGAAAAAGAAATGAAGTTAAAAAGAAATAGAAACAGAAAAGTAGCAAAGAAATAAGTAGCAAAGAGTATTGGAGAGGTATTATTCCTTGAGTTCAAGGCCAGCTTGGGCTATAAAGCACATTCAAGGCCTGCCTGGGTTACATAGCAAGATCCAGTCTCCAAAAAAAGTGAAGGAAGGAAAGCAAAAATAAAGCAGTTTTGAAAATGTATTCTGCAAACATAAAAATAAGCTGTTTTAGAGGTAGGAACATTACAGCTGGTCTATAACCATTCAGTCATAAAGAAAGATATCTCCAAATTTAAAAAAAAAAAGTCACCTCAAATCCTTTTAACACTTCAAAGTGTAATTACATTTATTTATAGAAAACATGTATTCATTGAAAAACATGACTTTGTTATGTTATATGCTCACCAATTCAGTAATTATGTATTATGTTATATGATTATGGAGATCAGTGCACTAATCCACTCAGATGCTTACAAAAATAATGGCTGTGGAATCTGTTGACTATAGTTTAGAAGAAATAAGAATAGGTTCCTGTCTAGCAGCTTCATAAAAGCTAATTTTGTTTAGGATGACAAGTTATCTTTCTGACTAACAAGGTCTGTGAAAGTTCCATTTGTTGTTATCTTCCGCTTAACCACAAAAATGCATAAAACTTCAAAGTATGAAATGCACAAGATCAGAAAACTAGTTTTCAAATGTAAAGTAAGCTATTGTTAATGAAAGAGGCCGTAACCTACTACATCTTCATGAATCCCTGCAAAAGGAACACCTATTACATATTTTCTACCAAGAGATTTCCTATAATATAGTTAAAAGTCTTTGGTAGTCTTTTTTGGGCTTAATCCTATAAATACAGAATTAAAGTAATATGCAAAGCTACTAAAAGAAAAATTTTAATAAAATAAACCCTATATTATATTCCATCATATCATAGATAAATTACCCATGAACTTGTATTTCTGTCTGCAAAATCAATACTAATCATTTGTGCTATCATTTCACATCTTCTTTCATTTCACTAATTACTTGCTTATATAGAATTATAAAGTTATTGCTTATAAAGAGTTGTAAAGAGTTTGGTAAGAGTATACAGGCAGGGTTGCTGAGTGGCTGGTTCAGATCATTCCCTTGGTAATCAGAGAGTAAATGACCTATAAGTGCTTACTCATCACCACCGATAGAACACTGTAAATAAGAATACAACAATTATATTATACAAAATTAATAATTATATTATTTAGTACAGACAAGCTCTTAATCTCGTATCTTTTTCCTTTTGAAGCTTTGTTATTTTTATTCATTTTTAATATAAAATCATAGCAAAACCTTTGTCTTTCATGTACATACTGGCACAAAATAAGTGCCACGACTTTCTTTACAACTAGATTTCTACTCTCCAGACCCTTTATAGAGAAATTCTAGAGCACTTAGTGACCATAGCACAATTCCAGAAAACTACAGTTAAAAGGTGATGGAGCTTAAGGTACTAAGAACAGGTTCAGATATGAAAGAAAAACCATTAACCACTTTATTTACCAAAGTAAATATTATTTACATACATACCAAAATATGAGAAACAAAATAGTCTTATGGTGGTCTTGGAATAGTTCAAGTATAAAATAACTGAAGGTAGTTAAAAACTTTTTGATTTTGGTTTTGGTTTTAGACAGGGTCTTACTATGCAGCCCAAGCTGTCTCAAATTCACAATCCTCCTTTCTCATTCTCCCAAGTGCTGGGATTACAGATGTGTAGTGCCATACCTGGTTTGGCTTTTCTTTTTCTTTTTATGAAAGATTATATATGGGCTTTCAGTTTTCTCTGTCCTGTACAAAAATCTTTTTTAAAATCTTAAAAAAAAAATCTATCACAGAATTTCAACTATGTGAGAATTGAAAGAGATAATTCTTTAAACAAGGGATTACTAATGATTTCTCCAATCAGAAAGACATTCTATTTATAAAATTTGCTGTTGACACACAGCTAGAAGAAAAATAACAAAGACTGAAAAGATTTCAGAAAGCTAGACCATAAGTAGAAAATGATGGGGATTAAGAAAGTCCTATATTTAGGTTCAAATATAGCAATTACAGATGTACAAAATGAGGAGAACCTGACTAAAAGACAACATACAAATAAGACCTGGACATTTTAATTGATCATGAACTTGACTGGAGCCAAGTGTGTGATGTCCAGCTAACAAAGTAGCACAGAGACACAAGATGACATGATGGGAAAAGTATCAGATTTGCAGACCAAAGTCCTAGCTTCTAAACTGGCTCTCTTATCTATTAACTCATCTTAAATAAGCCAGTATACCTCTCACTTATCCACACATAAAAGGAACAACATTTACTTCACAGAACTGTTATAATTATTTGAAGTAAAAAATATAAACAGACTATATAAACTCAAGATCTAATGTAGACACTGTATAGTTACTATAATAATAATATAAGAAGTGAGTATTCCTATAAGATCTGTTGAATTAGATTTCTCAGGACCAGGCCAATTCTAAAATCCTAGGAATGCAGACTAAAACAATGACTCTATAATAGGCTTCTTCAGTTTAATTATTAAAACAATCCAATCTACATTGGCTTGTATTTGTAACTTAAAAGAGATTGCTTTTCCTTTGTTCGTAAAAATTGAATTTTCTGTACAAGATTAGTGGCTACATGGAATTGAGATTACTTCCTGTTGTAAATCTTCCAAATCTCTCTGTGTATTTGATTTGGAATCACAAATAAGCAAAACAATTCCCCCTTGAAAGTGCTTTTGAAGTACTAAACAACTAAGAACAATGTCCAGATTCATACATGGCTGTTAAAATCATTTTATGTTCAGGTCACATGAGAGAGATGAATTGAAAGTTTTCCTTCATAGAGTGATTAATCCCTTTGGAAAGATTTCTATCCCCAGTAAAATTGCAATGAACTTCAAACTTGCCAAGAATTGGAAAAGTCCTTTTGCCACAGCTCTTTTTAAACTGAAATTATTAGTAGGTTCCCAGTTTGAGGAAAATAGTACTTCACATAGGAAAGCCTGACTCCAGTTAAATTAAGATGAATGAGTCAAAACATTGAAAAGTCACAGACACTCTGAGTTAGCTGTATTTAAAACAAAACAAAAAAAGAGAATGTTCTAAGCCTCTCCTATAAATCTGAAAAGGAAAATTATTCTCAACTTATTAACTATCTGACTAAAAATAAATGTTCTAAATTGATCTTTTTATTCTGACATTATCAAATGCTCAAAAGAACAGATTGGGTGCCTTTAATGGCATAAAGATTTGTACATATATCCAGTAGTTCATTTCCTTATCAGAGAAATTCCATTTACTTTGCTATAGAACAAAAAATTTTTGACGTAAACAGTAACAATATTTTTTCATGACACTTCATAATTACTATGCCTATATTTACTTTCTGGAGATACCATTAACTTTGAAGTCTAGCACCTGTATACAAACCTCTGCTCCCTGCTCTATCACTTACTAGCTGTATGGTCAGGAAAATGATGCCTTCTAGAGCTAGGCAAGTTTTACTTAGGATGAGAAACATAAAATATCTAGTACACATTTTTAATACTTAGTAGATACTCAATAAATTCCATCCCCAATATTTTAGCCAAAATGAATTCCATGTTAGTTCGGTTGAATACAAACACTCATTTTTCATTCTAGTAAAAGATGCTGGTCACTCCCTTAAAGTCTTTGCTTAATGTCACCTTCTCTAGGACATCTCTACTTATCATCCTACTTAAAATCAAAACACACACAAGGAATACATTCTCTTTAGCCCTCTCCCCAGTTTTACTTTTCCCCCATAGCACTGATAACCTTTTAGTACACCATATAGTCCACATGTTTGTGTTGAAAATTGTTCATTTTTCCAAACTAAAATATAAACTTTATGAATGGTAAAACCCTTAGAGTGCACTCTGTCCTCTTCCCACAGGGTAAGGAGTCCACAAGGCCTCAGACATGCCCACAAGGAGACCATGAACCTTTGCACCATTCCCTTGGATCCTGTTCCAGGTTTCTGGGATCTCTTGGCATGGGGATGGCACTGGCCTCTTCATCTAGGCTCAGAAGCTGACTGTTTATGGCAAAGAGGATGGGCATGGGTCATATATGCCTTTTTGTTTTTTCTTTTCTTTTTGGTAGTAGTTGCGAGGCAGGCTCTCTATTAGTAGAGCCATACACTTCAGCCTCTTGATGGAGTGTCCCTCGGGCATATGAAACCAGTGGCATAGGCCAAGGCTAAGAGATCCATTTATATTTTTTGCACTTCAGTCACACAAATATGTGGGGAAGCCGTGTCTATCACAGCAGAATGTTTAGTCTGCTTGGTTCACTGGTGAATCACTAGTGTCTAGGACAGAGCCTGATATCCAAACATATGATTTTTTAATGAATTAATGAATAAAGTAAAACTGTAATAGTCTACAACAAGTATATGGAAGAAAAATCTATAAAAGAAAAACAAGTAAGCAAAATCTTGGAGGTAGAAAAGTGATGCACAGAACAGACTCTACTCTCTTAGAGTGAAGTAACTACATGATATGAATAGTGAACTCATATTCACCTTCTGGCTCTTCATATTCATCACCTTCTTCAGGTATGTCCTCTCCCCACCAATCCACCCCTCTCTCCCCGGCTTTTAACCTAGAGCCTTCAGGAGGATCTCTATTGCCTTCAGCCTGAAAGACAGGAGGATTCAGTATCTTTCAGGGTTTCTCACACTGTGCTCTTTGGCCTCCCATCCCACTTCATTTCCAAGTGTGGCAAATATCTTTAAAGAAAGGAGATAAGCCATGTGTTTGAGGCAGGTTTCACCCCTCAAGCAGAGCCTTATTTTCTTTTATTCATATGTGCATACATTATTTGGGTCATTTCTCCCCCACTCCCCCCACCCCTTCCCTTACCCCTGCCCCGCTTCCTCCCTTAACCCCCCTTACCCCTAGCTACCAGGCAAAACTATTCTGCCCTTATCTCTAATTTTGTTGAAGAGAGAGCATAAGCAATAATAGGAAGGACCAAGGGTTTTTGCTGGTTTAGATAAGGGTAGCTATACAGGGAGTTGACTCGCATTGATTTCCCGTACATGTGTGTTACCTTCTAAGTTAATTCTTCTCAAACTAACCTTTTCTCTAGTTTCTGGTCCCCTTCTCCTATTGGCCTCAGTTGCTTTTAAGGTATCTGCTTTAGTTTCTCTGCATTGAGGGCAACAAATGCTATCTAGTTTTTTGGGTGTCTTACCTATCCTCATACCTTCCATGTGTGTTCTCGCTTTATCATGTGATCAAAGTTCAATCCCCTTGTTGTGTTTACCCTTTATCTAATGTCCGCATATGAGGGAGAACATACAATTTTTGGTCTTTTGGGCCAGGCTAACTTCACTCAGAATGATGTTCTCCAATTCCATCCATTTACCTGCGAATGATAACATTTCGTTCTTCAGAGCCTTATCTTCTAAGTATCACAAGACCACAGGTGACTTCAGTCCACTACATTGAGGCTCCGTAGCCTTCCACATAGCTACAAAATTCAGCATAATGTGTCCTTGATAAAATAAATAAATAACTCCCGAAGTTTCCAAATGGTTGGCAGTCTCTCATAATACCCAAAAGCTTTACTGGTTTCTCTCTCATTCCTTTATGTGGATCAGTATCAATCCTCAGCTTATATCCCAAATTGGCAAATAATGCCAGAGAAGAAAATTGCAAACAACAGATTCCTCATCTCAGAAGAACTTCATCCTTTCCAGTTTACTTCTCTGCTTACATAGCTCTGCTATGTTTTTAAGCTTTGTCTTCCCCGATCTTATCTGACTTTTACTACTTTATAACAGAAATGGTGTTTGGCCATGACCTACTACATCTTCGTTAGAAAGAAAAGTCCCCAGCTCTGTTGAGTGTCTGCTTCATTCTATTCCCTCCTTATCTGAGAGCATTTCACTTTCTCCTTAGAGTTATGTTTTGAAGGCTGCCTTACTTTTCCATAGCCTGAGCAGTGGTGGAGGAAGAAGAGCTCATCTGAGGTGATAGGCAGTCTAAAATAGTTCCAGGGTTCTGCATTCCCTTCTAGGTTTATTAAGTATAATATGTACTGTAAGAAGGTGTCTTCCATCTAGTTAGGGACTGTGTTTCATTCATATTGGAGGAGAACATTTGGATAACTTCCCTAATTTGGTACATAGCACTACAGCCTTCACTTCTTTCAGCGTATAAATTTCAGAGTTCATTTTCCACATTACTACACGCACAAATATTTCATTTAAGAATAGGAAAAGTTAATTCAAACCAAATGAAAATGTAAAGAACTTTCCTAGTCAAGAACAATGTAAAATATTCACCCATCTAAATACACAATTAATTATACTCTGCCATTCTGTCCTTGAACTGGAACAATTTTTAAATTACACAGTACTAGAGTTTGGAACTGGAATATCATCCAAAGACCCATATGTCAATGGCTTGGTCCCCAATTTGGTGCTATTGGGAGATGATGGAAACTTTTAGAGGCAGGGTATAATAAGAGGTCTTCAGGTCACGGGGGCATGACCTTAAAGGGGACAATGGGACTCTCTTCTTCTCTCTCTCACTCCCTGGCCATGAGGCATGCAAATACACTCTGCCACATGCTCCCTGCCATTGCCATCTGGTACCCACACCACAGGTCCAAAAGCAACAGGGCCAACTGATCATGGACTGAAACCTCAAAAACATGAGCCAAGGACTGGCAGAGTAGCTCAAGTGGCACAGTGCCTGCCTAGCAAGCTTAGCAAGCGTGAGGCACTGAGTTCAAGCCCCAGTACTGCAAAAAAAAACAAAAAGGAGCCAAAACAAGCCTTTTCCGTTTTTAAGTTGATTATCTCAGGATTTGTTATAGGGATGGAAAGCTAGCACACAGTTTCTCAAAATTCCATTTAAGAGAAGAAGGCCATGTCTTCTTTATTTTCCCTTTCATTCATTTAACAGATATGTATTAAACATTTACAATAGCAACTGTTTATTTCTTTTCTTCTTTTAGGTCCAGTGGATTAAATAGCCAGAAACAGGTCAGTAAGATTACATGAAAAAGGAAAAGGTTATATGTCAACTGTCATTACTCACTTTCCATTTCATTCTTATTGTGTAAATAAGCATTGCATATTTACAGTATCCAGCTCAGCTTCATATATTTACTTTTTCTAAAAATAAAACACTGTTTATCATTTTCATAACAGTACATTAAATTGTACCTTCATTTTTTCTTCTTGCATTGACTTATGGATGCGTTCCCTTAGGGGTTTTACTGACGAATTATTCATTTGTGTGGGAGATCTATGTCAAAAAAAAGAAAAAAAGACAAAACTTATGACTATGGTTTGAATCCTTGTGTCCCTCCAAAATTCATGTTAATTTTATCCTCAATGCAACACTATTAAGAGGTGGGACCTTCAGAAGTGGGCTCTCAAGAATGGAATTAGTACCCTTAAAAAGGGATTGAAGCAGCCTGTTTGGCCCTTTTTGTCCTTAGATTTCCTGTCATGTGAAGATGCAGCAAGAAGGTCCCATCTATGAGTAACAGGCCTGCAACTATGAATGAAAATCAATCTGCTGGACCTTGATCTAGGATTTCCAAACCTACATAACTGAGAGAAATAAATCTGTTATTTACAAACGACCCAATCTAAGGTATCATCCCAAATAAACTAAGACATTCAGATATCAAAGTGGCTTTTAGACAGGTTTTCCCCTCACAACACTGCCATAAACATACAAATAAAGAACAATAGAATGTACATGCTTATGGAAATTTGCAAAAGTATCAGTATTCCTATTCTGGGAGTCCTATATATTAATAATTTGCTTAATTAATTACTTCGGTAACTAAATACTTCTTGAACCTCTAACATTCATTTGTAAAGTACTACATAAGATATTATAAAGAACAAAAATGTGAGGCTCTATCTGAAAAATAAAGTAAAGCAAAAAGGACTGGGGGTGTGGCTCAAGTTGTAGCAAGTGCAAGGCCCTGAGTTCAGACCCCAGTACTGCTAAAAACTATCATTTTACAAAGATATAGGATCATCTATCCTCAGAAAAAAATAGTAGGGTTAAATTCATACATACATCACAATGTCCTTAATTTTATCACTTTGGTGCAGACCATTAAAATTTTAGTTTACCATGGATCATCTGCACAGAAATGACTGGGAAGTAGAATGTAGAATCCAAACTATGAAGAAGAACTAAAATGTGCTTGATCACAAGATAAAGTACAGAAAATTTCTTTTTAAAACAGACCCAGGGATTAATTTCGCTTAAACAAATTCTACAAATAGCAAACCTTCTCTAAAAAACAGGTTTTATCTGAGAGAAAAATTAAATCTCTTCTACCTCAAAGAAAATTTTGTTAAACAAAAGCAAATACTGCTTTCTGAGGCTCCAGCATAGAGGATATGTAAAATACCAATAAGAGAAATACTCATTGTTAGGAAAACACTGGAGCATTTTGAGGTAGAATGTGGGGGAATTATATCATGCCCAGATACAAAAGAATACTCACGGGAAGCTGGGAAAAATGAGAAAAAGGAATTAGATGACAACACCAAATGCAAGAATATTATGAATTCTCTCTCTAAAGAAAAGAGAAAGGACTCTGGCATAGGAGAGAGCCGGTGAAGCAATCACAAATGGATATGAGCAACTTCAGATACAACACCAGCTTTCTAAAAAGTAGCTCCAGATGAAAGTTGAAAAGATCAAACAATAGGATGATATTGTGAAAATTGTCTATAGCGTACTAAATATACCTTAAAGTAGTCTTTCTAAAATAATTAATGTTCCAAAAAATGAGTATTTATTTAATTAAAAATATTACCAATGAAATTACTATGGAATGACTGATCTACTTTTTAAAACTGGAAAGTGTCTGCTATAGATGAAATATACACATATATATCTTAAAGCTTTATTAACTCTCAAATGTGACTTATTTGTAAATAGGGCCTTTAGGAGGCCAGTGAGGTTAAATGAGTGACAAGGATAAAGTCCTAATTTGATAGGACTGGTAGCCTTATAAGAAGAGAAAGAGAATTCTCTCCATGTACACATACCAAGAAAGTACACAGCAAGAAGCCGTCATCCAAAACCCCAGAGTGGTCCTTACCAAAACCCAACTATGCTGGCCCTCTGACCTCACATTTTCAGCCCAAATGGAAGGCAAGCTTTTATTGTTTAAGCCACCTAGTCTTTACCAGATTATGGTATTTTATTACAACAGCCAGAGCAGATTAAGACAGTATCATGGTCATAGACATAACCCCAGCACTAATGTAGCAAATATTTTTCTTCCTAACATGAGGAAGAACCAGTGTCAATTCCAATGTAAGCTTGGTGTATATGACCTCCCCTGTTGTTAACAGTCCTTGAAACAGAGGCCTGAGGCTTGGGAGAAGAAACCCTCGCTACTTGTTAACTTAGTTCTCTTGAGTCTGTTGTTTCATAGGTCTCTCAAGTCTCTAACTCTTCACTTATAAAGTGGGGATACTATTAAAGGGAGTTGTTGTGAGTGCCGAGATAAGTGAAAGCATTTAGTGAATTTCTTCACACATAGAAAAGCAAATAAATATTTTCTCACAGTAGAAAGCAAGAATAAAAACAATATGGAAATCAAAAACACCTGCCACACTCTCATAAAATATGACCTTTTAAATATATAACAGCTTTGCATTTAAATGTTCAATCTCATGAAAATAAGTAAATACCACTTTAAAGGGCTGATGGAATGGTTCAAGTAGCAAGTGTGAGGCCCTGAGTTCAAGCCCAAGACCACCTAAATAAATAAATATTCAATCTCCCTTTAACTAACTTTTGCTTTCTTTCTTCATACTTTTCTGTAGTTTATAAGTTTCCTATCATAAGTATATTATTTCTTTTCCAATCAGTGATGCATTTTTTTTCAAAAATTCCCTAGAGTTAACATTTATACAGATATAATATGCAAATTACATACCTGAAAAGTGTAAGAATAGAAGTTCCACTATGATGACTTGTATTTTCCTCATCGTATAAGAGCTCTGCCTTGTTTCTGGTAGGAGCATTGGCTGCTTCTTCATCCAAAAGAACAAGCAAAGTTTTCACAGTATCTCTGCCACTGTATGCAGTACCATGGTTTATGACAAAAGATTTTGGCTAGGACAAAAAGTAATTTTAAGTTACTTAATTCAGCCCAGCTGGATGAATTAGCCCCACCTTTCTATTTCACATGCCACTCTGTTGTTGAAGTAACAGAGAATCAGCTATGAGAAGTAGCTGTAGCTGTAAGACAGGTGAGCACTTCTCCTTTAAGCCATATCATAATCAATCTTACCAATTTTCAGGCATACAAAAATGTTGTTGTCAAAGGAAAACATTAGGTTCTGGTCAAAATAACATTTACCTTTGAGTCAGAAAAATCTAACTAGCTATGGACCTCAGCTCCATGACTTTACCACTCTGCATTTTCTGTGTTATACCAGAGGGAAATGGGGTATCTGAATATCCCTCAGAAGGTTCATAATATCTAATCAAATGCAAAAATGAAAAACCAGTTAACATTCATTCATTCAACAATCATTGATTAGTATATTCCATGTCCTACGCACTGTTTGAAGTTAAAGCTATAAAGGTAAAAACCACTGCCTTCAAAGAACACACAAAGGAGCAAAATGTTTTGCTTCTTGATAAATAAGCAAAACATTTCATTACAGAATGCTAAGTGATACTTTAATAACTGTTTACACAGTGCAGTGGCGTACCCAAAAAGGAATGAAGAGTATAATGTGAAGTCAAGGATGGCTTTAGGGAGGAGGAGACAGATACGTAGGAAGGAGCATGGCACCTTCAGGGACTAGGTAACATGACAGGCTGGAGAACAAAGTAAAAAGGAGGAAGTCATCAAAGATGAGCCTGGAACAGGTTTGTATATCATCCAAAAAAGTTATGTCAGTCTGACATACCGGTAAAATCTCTTACTTTCTTAAGTAAGTACAATAACTGTATTTAGATTTTAAACAGAGCTATAACAAACTAAAAGACTATAATGGACTGGGTCCTCTGGAACAGTTTCCTCAGATTTTATTAATATGGTCGTGGCCTCGTTTCTCTACTTGGCAGACTCAGGATAGTAGGTGAACTATAATGTATTGGTTAACCAAAATTAAAACTGATTACCTATCACAATCTGGTGCTTCACTCCTAGTTTTTAGTAGTGCCAAAGAAATCCACATTGTTTAATACTAACTTCATTGAGTATTATCTAACGTAGTTTTGAAAACAAAGTTAAAAACCAGGCTGTTTGTATCTTTATTTCTTCTGCCAGGACTGTGGAGAGATTGGTGTTCTTTATTATCAGCAGTTCCTGATTTATACTTACAGTGATGACCTGGTTGTCATTTGCGCCAAGCTAGTCACTGAAATGCTGACACACATGAAATAAATGGTGCAAGAGTCTCCCTCATGACATGGCTTCAAAGCACATCTAAAAGCATGCATCATTACAGAAAAATAGCTACAAATAGACACGAAGGGCTGTGAATGAATGGATAAAGAAATAAATAATAAAGCAAAAGTCTCTGTTCACACACTGACTGCCATGACACCTAATGAAAAGGGGCTTGCGTTAACTAAATAAACTGAAGCAAATAGACTATAATACGTCATACTCCAAAATTTTCTTCTGGAGCTAAAAATCATGAAAGTTGATTACATTGTTTCTCCTATAACACTGTAAATCTATTATATTTGATGATCTATGTAAGAAAATTAAGGAAAGAAGTAAATGTTACAACAATATGCAATTCAAAGATTGCCAGGTATGGGGAAAATTGGATTGTGGTACCCTGGGAATGTAGGTAGAAAATAAGAAATTATAGAGCTCTATTAAAAAAAATAAACTAATGAATGGAAACTCTTTCTCACAGTGCTGCTGCTGTTCTACAGAGAGTTTAGTACAAGGGTTAGAAACCAGGCTCTTCTTTTATATCTAGTAAGAGGAAAAATAATTGTTTTCATAAGAATAAATATTGAAAAACAGTGCAAAATACTTAATATTCACTAAGAATTAAAAGGTTTTAGTGTTAAAAAGCACACTGGAGATTATACAATGTCTTACTTTCTAACAACTACAAATAGTTTGGCCCAAAGTGTTATGACTTACCTAAGCTGAACATAATCCTTTTGGGAAAATTAAATTTTCAATATCATCTTAGGACACAGGAAACATACTCTTCTGACTTAAGTAACAACTATAAATCACTTCTAAAATGAATAGAAGAGACAATGCTTTGTACAGCAAGACAATGAAAAATAAAAAGCTCATTACCCGTGGAGGACTGATGTCAGTAGTGCTAGCGTCTTCACTTTCTTGTTGAGAATTCATAATATTTTTAATCCTCAGATCCAAATCCTGAACAACTTTCTCTACTGCTTTATAAAAAGGATCCCCACTGTTCTGACCTTTAACCAGCTGCATCTTTATCACTGATAGTATCCGACTCCCTGCAGTGCTGAAATAGAAATAAGACTGCCTTCATAACATTATTAAAAATTACAATATACTTATAAGCTTGAGAATATAATTCTCTGTTAATCAACACCTTTCAAGGACTATAGCTTTGATCTTATAAAGCAAACACTAAAGCGTTTAAGAAAAAGATTAAGGTCATTAGAAACAAAATTTTAAAGTTTTTCAACAAGTTGCTTCTTCCTTGTTTTGGTTTGGTTTTTGGTTTTTGGTTTTGTTTTGTTTTTGTGACAGGGTCTCACTGCTAGCCCAGGCTAGCCTCAAACTTGTAATCCTACAACCTCCTGGGATTACAGAAGAGACCCACCTTCTTTCTTGATTTGAGAGCTAAAGGGAAGTAATTTAGTTATATATGAAATTTGGTAACAGATCAGATCCAGTTACATACATGTAATATACTTAAAATATGTACCTTTAGATAACAAAAACAGCTAGTAAGATAACAAAAACAGATACCATTCATTGAACATACAGAATATTACATGACTTTAATCTTAAGACCAATTCAATTAGTTGTTATTATTACCTTTGTTATTATTACCCCTAAATCACAGATGAGACAATTGAGTCTCATGAAGTTTAAATAGCTTGACCTAGAACATGACATTCTGGGCTGGTTCGAGGAGGGAAGGAAGGAGACTGGCCTGATACTACATTGTACTATAGGAAGGATTATTATAGGTGGAAGAAGAAACTAAGAAAGTTAGCACTAATCCAAAGCAAACCAAAGGTGATCAACTACAGTCAACAGACAAGTGTTTTTAAAACTTGGAATCAATGTTTCTTTATACCCAGACAGAACTTGAAATAATGTGGGTTACAGCTCCTGCTCTAGAGGATCTTGGCCCGTTCTTAGGAAGAAATTGGAGATGTTCAACAATAGAAGAGGGCTCTTTTTCAAGTCATGAGATATCTATCCCTTGATGTATCCTGGAAAGGCTGCTCAGTGCCCAATGAGAAAGTAGTCTGGTCTGACATGAAGTCAGGCTGCCTGAGCACAAACAGCAGTTCTGCCACTTTCTACCTTTGGTATGCTACTAAACTGCTCTTTTTAGTGGCATAAAGGAAAACGTTTCATGCATCCGAGAGCAGCCAGGCACCCTAATGAGCATGGGAAATGTAATTATTCACATTTTAAATTATTTAAATTATTCACATTAGCTGGTCTAAATGGAAAAGCAAAGTTATGAGAATACCACAGAGAAATTTAATATGTGATGATAATGCATGAGACAAGTGTCTCCCAAATTTGACTGGTTATCAGGATAGTACTCAGCATTGTTTGAAACATCAGCTCCAGGGCTAGGGACATGGTCCAAGAGATAGAGTGCCTGCCAGCAGGCATGAGGCCTTATCACACCTCAGAACTAAAAAAAACAATCAACTCCAGATCTTATTCTACTGAATCACTATCTCCAAAAAGGGCACCATATAGTTGGATTGCTTTAAAAGTACAAGTGACTTGATAAGGCAAGATGAGAAACATTTCATGCCAAAATTGGCTCTTTGAGAAAGGAACCAGAGTAACTGGAAGAGAACTCTAAACAATAACATAGATAAGTAACTGATAATACTTTAATGCAGTTGATTATTCTTCACTTTACTAAATAAAATGACTGACCTGTGTGTACCATATTCAAGAATTTGATAGCTATTTGCTGAAATAAATTTTACCCTTAAAAACTAAATGTGTTCATAATATGTATCAAAATGCTTCTAAATTTTTTTAAACAGGAAAAATTTTAACATTAGGTTAGAATGGAACATTTCAATCAGATTTAACATTCTGAACATGGATATTCAATATTCAATCCAATATATAATGCAGGTATACATTAAAACCCTGAAATACATCATTTAACTTCTAAATTAAAGAACTAACTAATTCATCTAACCCGAAGCCTCTAAGACATTTTTCCTCACGTAAAAGTATAGCATACATGTCATGGTGGCACCTACTGGCAAAGTATAGAAATGCAGTCAACTTAGCTAACATAGCCTCCTGGAAAGTTGGCAGGGAGTGATGAGCTTGAGAACTGATTCTTTTTTTCCTTTCTTTTCTATCTATCTATTCCCATTCTCCCTTCAACTCAAAGTTCCTGTAATACCCCTTTTACAAGATAAGTAGTTACAAACTTATCCTCAGATACAAGAATTAAGTAACATTTTTATCTCTGGTTGTAAGGCTGAGAGATAAAGAGGATAAAGAGGGAGAGAAAGGCATGCGTTAGACTGTGTTAGATAAAACCTGATACAGGGTTTTGTCCTGTATCTAACACATGAAACCACTGAAGGTTTTTAATCATAGGATTAACATTCTCTGTTTCAGAAAGATCACTCTGGCAGCAAAAAGGATAACAGGACGGGGCAATACAAGACTGGAAGCAGAAAGGACAACTCAGAAACAGGCAGAAAAATCCAAAAAAGAAAGGATAAAAGTCAGAAAACAGACAGCATAAAAAATGGAAATAAGATAGTAGCTACAGGAATAGAGATGAGGAAAAAGAATATAAAAAATGTTAGTGAGAGGAGTTGATGGATCTTTGTGAGTCAAGGAATAGAGAAAAAAGAAGAGAGACTTTAAGATACATTTCAGATTTCTGCTTGGGTTACTGACGGGAGGTTTCATCACTTTAAGAGGATAAGTAATTTTACACAGAAAGATGAAGATTCAGTTTTGGACATACTAAATTTGAGTTGCCTTTGAGTACTATCTCAAAGATAATTGAAATGTCATTGACATTGTCTATAAGTTATTTTCAAAACCCTCTTTCAAATTTGTTTGTACTCATATATATGTAAGAAGATAGGGTGCAATTCAGAATAAAATCCTGAAAAAAAAAAAATCTTACTAGACTCTCCAACTGAAATTTTATAGAATAAGATGAGAGAATGAATGTCGAGGTCAAAATTGAATGAGTTCAGGTCCCAGCTCTGCTACTTAAATAACAATTACTTGATCCTAGGACTTCAGTTTCTTCATCTCTGAACTGGGACTAGTACTGGTACCTACCTGTAAGTTTGTCATTAAAAAAATGTGGTATATATACACAATGGACTATTATTCAGCCATGAAGGATGAAATTATGTTGTTTATAAGTAAATGGATGGTACTGGAGATCATCATGTTAAACGAAGTAAATAGGTTTAGAAAAAAAAAGGTCACGTTTTCTCACATATGTGGAAGCTAGATCTAAAAGATACATGTATATATAAATACATATATGATTATATATACATACATACATATATAGAGAATATGTTTGTAATAGTAGGACTGTTCGAGGGCAATAGAGGGAGGCAGGAGAGGAAAAGAGAAGGATAGAGAGTGAATAATAAAGTGAATAATACATTGCATCTGTGTATGCAGATAGCATAATGAAACACTGAAAGCTGTCAAATGATAGAGGGATGGGAATAGAAAAAGAGAATAGAGGGAGTTAATCTGATTAAAGTCAATATATTCATGTGTAAACCCACATGAACAATAAAGGACAGGAATGTAAAACAGGTCCTTTTCAGGGATGGTTACTATTGGGAGGGGATGGGCAAACGGAGAGGGTGAAGGATGAACTTTACATATTTGTGTGATGTACTTTATATACGTGTATGAAAAGAGAACGATGAAATTGTTTTAAGAAGAGGGGAAGAGAGCATGATGGAGAGGATGAATCTAACCAAGGTATATCGTAAACATATATGAAAATGTCACACTGAAATTCCCATGTACAACTAATATACGCTAGATCAAATTTAATTTGAACATGCCTTTTGACTTTGGCAAGTCTTTTAGAACCACAGCGAGGTAGAAATTTAGAATGGGGGAAAGGTCATTCAATTATAATTTATTCATCCCAATATTTTGTTTCTTCTTCCTACTTTTCACTTTAATGCTTGGTCATTTCAACATCTCTTTCATTCCTACCTCTGAAACTGTGAAGTTTTAAAGACAGATTAATAATACACATTTGTAATTTAGGAAAAGTTATTACCTTGGATTTGGTATTTCTCCAAGAATCTCCTCTAATTTTTCAATGAACTTAATAAAATTAGACAATCCCTTTATATGTGTCCTTAAAGGATCAGATGGTGATGGTGCATATCCTTTCCCTCCAAGCTCCAGTGTCCTAATAAATGATGTGGCCACCTATGAATGAAAAAACATGATTTAGTTATGTTTAGTGATCCAGTAAGTTAGAACTAAAATTTACTTTATGAAGTTACGTAAATCTATATAATTCTATGTATACAGTTAAAATGACCATGCCACACTTTGATTTGAGCAAATAACCACAGAAACAAGTGCCATGCAGAATTCATACTCACAAGGGTAGCAATGATATCAGCTATAGATGGAGACTGAAGTGCTAAGTTACAGGGTAAATTAGGACTAAAGAATATATTCATATTCATAAGAATAGATTACTGACTACAAAGAATTTGTTCATGAATATATTCTTAGATTGCTTCCTATTTATATTCTTATTGGGTATTGAAGTTGTTATATAGAACAAACTCATTTTCAATGTCAGTTGGGCTGCTATGTTGGTCTGGTAATTGAATATTTCCATACCCTTTCTTTTACCCTTACTGCAAAATAGTTAGGCTAAATAATCACTAGCTTTCACATCCCAGGATTATTTGATCATGTATAGCAAAAAGTCATGTCTTTACAAAGATAATGATTCATATGTGATGGCTATCATAAGAGGGACTCCATCAAAGATAACATGTTCTAAAAGCAGTATTTTCCAAAGTGTGATCCTAAGAAAGACAAGCTCTATGAAATGAGGGAAAGTTCCTTGGTCATATAACTTAGGAAACAACAGATTAAATAACAAGGTTAACTTCTTATAAGTTATAAGCAAATTTTCCTATGGCAAGACTTCTCAGAGGTCTTGATATCAAATCAGCAGGGAATACTACTTTTAAACTTGCCCTTGGAAACATTTACTCAAGAAGAATTTAACAGGGACTTTTTTGCCTTTGGAAACATCTATTTAAGAATTTACCAAAGTTAGGCATAGTGGTACATACCTACATTCCCAGCACACAAGAGATAGAGACAGGAAGATCTCAAGTTCAAGACCAGGCTGGGCTACATAGCAGAACTATCTCAAAAAAAATTATCAGGGCTAGCATTCTGTAAAACATATGTAGAAAAACAATGCTTTAGAGAAATTCTTCCTTGCCAAACTTGAAAGATACAGCAAAAAGTACCATGAATTTTTCAAATACAGATATTAAATATAAACTAACCACTTAATAATTGTTTCATTATAGTTATAACAACCCTACATTAAGGAACACAGATTCACTGCTCTAGGTGTCTTAAACAATATTGACAGTGCAACACATCCATACCAAAAAGATAGACATCTGTTTCTCTCGAGCAGCATGTTTCAAATCCGTGAAGGCTTCTCTTCCAAGTCCTCTATCAGGAATATTGAGAATATGAGCCAAAGCCAGATCATTCTTCAAATTCACTAGCAGGCTTAAATATGAAAAGATAATTTTCTTTGCTAGTAGCAGTACCTGTACAATACAATATTCTGTTATTTTCTTTATTGCGATTATTCTAAATCTATAACCTTTTTATATGCAGTAAAAAAACATGGATCATTCAATCACAATATTTCATTCAGTTTTAGGCAAAGAGAATTGTCACACAAACTGAAAACTTAGATTGAATAATCAACATGTTCTCAATGAAATCAACTCACTGTCAATAAGAAACAGTGCATAAATAACAACTATCATCATTGTTGGAAACTGGCTCTTAGAAAATGATATAAAGGATACAGTTCAAGTATACTTTTGTGAAGAGGTCTCATGTCATTCTCGAGCATACATTTGCCACAAAATAATAGCCAGTATAAAGTTCCCAAAGGCTTGGAACATGAGCCAACTAGCTCTATTTGGTCCTATGCCTACACTACCCCTTGCAATGCCAGATTTAAGGGTTAAAGATAAGTGTGTAAATTTTTGAGAACTCCTAGATATTAACTTTGATACTATTAAATAACCTACTGAAGATCAAAATGAACAGATTCAGCCAAATGTTAAGAAAATAATAGCAGGTAGCTGATATTGATGTTAACTGGCCTCAAACAAAGCTACAGACTATTCAAGCACAAGATAAATAAAATTTGGGAGAATTTGATGGAGGCATCATCTTTATATTGTACTTGTCCTTCAAACTCAAATGATAAAGTAGGACATTTAATAATTTTTTTCTTAAAATTAGCCATCTGTAGGTATTCAAGGTCTTGTAACTTCTGGTACTAAGGGAAAAGCAATTATGTAAAAAACCACAGGTAACAACTATAGAACATTAGGTAAAAATAAAAATATTTATTTAAAAATAAAACTGTAAAAAGACACTGGAAAGCATCCAAAAGGCAGGCATAAGATGGGGAATTTAACATAAAGGAACTAAGCAACAAGGGTAAGGGGAAAACATCTTAGAGCCCTCACAGATGGAACACTTCTTTTAAATCATGACTGCAACTGGACATCTCTCCCTATCATTATGGTCAGATAACATGGCAGTTATGGTTTCCCTGCTCTTGTATGTGCAAGTGGGTTTTGAAGAGGCTCTTTGGAAAAGCAGTCCACATAAGTACAGTTATGATATCCAGAAGCAAAGGCCTAAATTGAAAAAATCCACAAGACTGAAGCTTTACCAAGATGCCAAAAATAAGGATAATGTTCTGTTTATGTGTTTAATAAATTGATTCCATCCATACCACAAAGTATTTGCAATGTTTCTTTAGAAACTGGACAATTTTATTTAAGTTTTCTAACAGTTCCAAGTTTCTTTTCCTGTCCCTTGATTCTCACTGAGACACACAGATGCAGCCTCTATTTGATGAAAGTCAGTTTTTCTAAATTGAAAAAAAACTGGCTTCCTTGCAAGTATGAGGCCCTGGGTTCAAACTCCAGTACCAAAAAAAAATTGCAGTTTGTATAGATTCTTTTTACTTTCTTCGCCTACACATAAATGCTTACATGTAACAAAAATTGGACTAGAACTAGTATATTGTGAGAATTTCTTATTTAAATAATGATTTGGGGAAGGAACCTCATTCCGTCTTCCCCTTCATTACTTCAGAATTCCTAAAGCAACAGTACCTCAGGAAAAATAAAATACAGACAAATAAAGAAACAAAAATATTACTTCTTAAATTCATTCCATTCTTCTACTTAATTCTGGTATGACATTAGTAAAAACAGTTGATCAAAATATATCTTTGCAAGACTGCAACACAAAAAAGTCACTTTAAAATCTTAAATACCTTAACTTCCAAAAATACTTTGTGGAAAGAAAAATTCGAAACTTCAAGTACCAGAAGCATAGCTAAGAGAATGACTATGAACTTCAATTGGCCTTGGAAAATCTAATCCGTCCGCAAATTAGTACATAAAATTCTATTAGAAATCACAACCCAAGAAAGAAAAAGACCAAAAGTAGAGAATTAATACAATGAAATAAGCTATCAGATTTATATGGATATTTTTAATTATTATGTTTTGGGTGCTGGGGTATGAACCCACGATATCAAACCCAGGACCTCAAGGACAAGTCCTCTACTTGAGTTACAACTAGTGTTTTTTAAATGAACAAACTATATGCTATATGCATACGATGAAGAGCCATCCTTTTCTATGTACTATAACCCTTTGTAATGAATATCTCTTTTGGATAATACTTTATATCTGTAAGCCAAAATTCCAAGAGTTTAGGTTTTTTTAACATACAAATCAGTTCATTCCTGTGTTAGAAAATTTAAAAATTATTTTTTCCTCCTAACAGAGTGCTAGGATAAATCAAAGAGATCTACCCTTCTGACGTGGATGTTCTTCTAAGTACAACTGAGAAAAGACCAGTCAACTTATGTCAAGATTTGGGGAAGGAAAGAAAAATAAGGAAAATGTAAGTGAAAAAATAATTCTAAGCAAGAGAAAATAGTTATGAATCAGATCTACTGGTCTGAAGGTGGGGCTTGGGATATTTTCTTGTACCAGAAAGGAGAAAAGAAAATGTTCAAAAAGTCTAATGGGGCAGGTAAGGAAAACACAGGTGCTACCTTGATGGGGCTCCCTCTATTTTAGCATCAAAGATTAAGTATGACCAATATTTTTAAAACACTGAATAAACAAAAATTCATGAGTGAATCCATAGCAATGTACACAAAAAAAAGAGAAAGATAAATAGAAAAATACATCTTATTTGCCTCTTTCCCTCTCAATAGAGAGAGAGAGAGAGAGAGAGAGAGAGATTGCACTAGCTCCTAAACTGGTAAAGATAATTAAACAGTGGCCTTGACATATTTAAGGAACTGTATTTGATCCCATTTGACAAAATAAGGCTTTGCTTTACTGAGAAATGGCTGGTAATTAATGTAGACATGACAAAACAAACTCCCATTCTTCCATTCTACAAATGTTAAACAAATAATTGGTTCAGACAAGGACCATTAATGCAAAAATTAAAAACTACTAGGTAAAAGGTGTCACCACTGATCTTTGCTGATAGCAGAGGGAAAACTATATCTGTACACTGGAGAGATCTGGCAATTCAAAACAACCTGAGTTTGTGTTTCCTGGTGTGATACAAAATTAAATGTTCCACATCCATTGTAAAGTAATTCTTACAAATGTTAAGCCTATATCTAAACTTTTAGCTTCCAGTTCATAAGAAACATAGCAAATAGAGGAATGAATTAAATTATATCACAGAGTACTAAGCAGACAAAAAGAAAGAAAAAGGATTAAGGGAATTCTTAAAGCCTAAAAAAACTCTAAAGAGACATAAAGAGTATTTTAGGGACAAATGGAGGAATCTGATATTATTATTTTCCCTTACTTTCAGGAAATGCATACTGAAGAATTTTAGGGATGAAATGTCACATGACATTGGAACTTTCATTCAAGTAGGACAGAAAAAAATTAGATACAGGCAAAAAAACATATTACTAAACCCAGGAAGCAGGTATACAGGTATTTATTTGAAGGTAGTGATAAAAAAGTATGGTTTTTAAAAGTGTAATATATATAGAGAGAGAGGACATGGAACTTTTGGAACAATCTAACCTAACAACGTTTTATCTAAAACAAAGGCAATTCATCAAACTCCCAAAAATTGGAGCATATTTTCAAAATATGGATAAAATTTTACTGGTTTTGCAAATACTCTAAAACTCTCATCAGAACTTTTGACACATTAGTCATGGAACATATTCTCCCAAGAATCACATCATCTAAAACAGCAAACGTGAAATTTACCACAGAAAAAAACAGACAACCTTCAAACTTCAGCTACTTCTCTGGTACTTTGAATGACACCTTCTTTTGCTCAGTGCAAGTTACCTTGGCCCAAACCTATGAAGACCCTGATTAGTGCGATGTTCTCACCAGTATCCAACATATTATTCTTTGCAAATACATTTTTAGTTAAACAAGTTGGAAACTTGTAAAAATAAAATAAAAAAAAAAAGAACTAAACATTTGGTTCTAAGGAACCACCAAATTCATAGTGGGTTTTTTTTTTATATAGTTATTTAACAGGGATCATATCCTACTTTAATTTACTCACAACTTATCAGTACCTTTTCATTATCCTCGTGGTGTTTCATTGGTGATGTAGGTTCATAAAGATTAGTTTCAGCAGCTACTGCATACTCTTTGCCAGACAGAAAATGCTGTAGTTGAATCTGTAGGGAATAAGGTATTACTAATAAAATGCATGACTATTAAGAATGCACCACATCTATTGTCATTGATGCTCAGTGCACAGAGGATTACTTGACATTTGTTGGCATTCACTAAGCATACGTGGAATTCTTCATATGAGATATTAACATGGCACTCCTTTTGCATATTCTCACAAGTCCTTCCTTTAACTTGACTGATAAATGATTATCTTGCTTGGAAATGAGATTTTTTAGGTCACTACCCTCTTCTTCCAGGACATGCTATTTAATTTTTTTGTTAAATAACAAATATATTTAAATTATAACTTAAGTATGTTAAATACTAAATTATATTTAATAAGAAAACTTTTAACATTTATCTTTATCTTTAAAAGTCCAAGGATTTTTCTAGGATATTCCTAGGAATGTGTCTTTTCTCATCAATGCAGCCTAGAACTTGTTAAACTCAGCATTAGTAGATTCAGGTTTCTTTTCAGCTAACAGAACTATTTATTATAACATATGTTATGTATTTAATTACACCTTCATATGCACCTGTTTTCCTTTCTGGAACTCCTATCATTTTCATGCTAAGTTCTCTAGATGTGACTTCCAAGTTTCTTAACTTTTCCCTCATTTCTTTATCTTATATTTTTCTCTGTGTTTTAATTTTTTATTGTGCTTAATTCTTAGTTTGGATCTGAATTTACATATTGTATTGGGAAATCTTTAAGTTTTCATGAAAATAGCTTATCTTTCATAAAGCATGAAAAAAGTATTCTATGTATGTATCTACATAAAGTTACATAGGAAGGTTTTCTGCTTCTTTACACTTTCCTGTTTGCTTATTTAAAAAATTAACAAACTTATCATTTCTATCACTTCATAACCTGATAATAATTGTTACAAAAAAAAAAGGTGAGCCAATTAGATAGTCAGCTGATACAGGAGAAAGTAGCTCAAAAAAGTTACAAATGTTGAAACACCCTACACAGCAAATCAATTTCATCTAAAGAAATTTTAACTCTGCTAACAAGTGCAGTTGCCAGCTTGCTTGTAATCTCTCATTGTGAGAAATTTCATAATTTCCTCTCAGTTGTACACTTCTGGGGAGAACAGCAGGGAACACCTTCCACTCAATCTGTGGCTGGAGAATAAAACGTTTTACCTGTCTCTTAAAGCAGAGCATCCTAGACCTTACATGCCCTTGGAAGCTATTTGCCAACACAATCTGTGATTTTGTTTACAGAGTATCCCTTTGCTTCCACTCTGGCTACAGGCCTCTATACCTTCCCTGAGAACAGCCAGCCCACCTGTCCAATACATCTGAACAGGGACTAGGAAAGCAGCAGATGGAGGGATGGGCCTGGAAGGTAAGTGCTTTTTTTTTTTTGGAAAAAAATAAGCAAACATTTTTGATAAAGTGAGTGGTGCAGACATTTATAAAAATAAAACCTAGGTCTGTATTTAGTAACCACAATGTGTCCACAAAGACAGGCGTGTCTGAGGCCTGTGAACTTAGGTTTCTGGCTGATGATGGGTGTTAGACTGCAGCTCCTGGGTCACGGGTTTCTCTTCAATCTCAACAGTGAGACAGGGCTGAGAGGATTCCTCGATGTTCTGAAGCAGAAGGCTCTCCCACTGCCTCACCCACTCCAGGGCAGCCGCCAGCTTCTTGGGGTGGCGCCTTCCCAGGTGGGCTGTGTGAGGGATGCTGGGAGAGCCCGAGTTTCGAGGGCAGACTCGCTTTTTTTGCTGCCGCTGCTGCGCTGCCATCAAGGCCCTAGCGGGAGCATCTTCCCCAGGGGCTAAGAGGTCAGGGCTGGGCGCTAACTGCCCACCGAGCCCCTTGGAGGCCCAGATGGCAGGTGACCTGTTTCTGGAGGCGGCTGTCGAGCTGATCTCTACAGAGTGGGTGGGGACATCCTGGGAAGGTCCTGCAGGGATCGGGTATCCACCCTCAGAACCCCTTTCCCCAAGGTAGGGGGTATCTCCCAGTGGTCTCAGGCTCCAGCTGAAGGCCTGTGCTGGCCCTTGAGTCCAAGCTCTGACAATGGCGCCCACACCAAGACCCCAACAGGCTGCCTTCTTTTTTTGGTAAGATCTAAGTCAAGTTTTGGTGTTACCACTGAGTTTCCTTAAGGACTTAATGTTTTTGTGGTCAAGTTGTCCATCCCTTGTAGCAGCTGTGACATTCTGCTGGGCATGTGCGTTGTCAGCAGATTCATCCTTCTAAGGATGCTAGTAACCTTTAGTTGGAATGTTGTTTTTCTTCATTGGCTTTTTGGGGCTCAGCTCTGACACGATAGCTCTACAAGAAATGGAAGTTGAAATGGTCTCTATGCTTTTGGCATAGCAGTGGGAGAAATAAAAAGGTTGCCAGTCACCCACTGGGGCCAAGAAGTCTTATGTTCTCCAAAGCCTCACTAACAGGAAGTAATTTAGCTACTTCATAGCTTAGAGGGACAGGGAATCCTGGCAGGTCAGAGGACATTTGTTGAGCCTGTCCAGACTGTCCACAGATCTCTGTGGCTAAATTCTTCTCACATCTCTCCTCATTTCTGCTCCTAACCCCAGGTCTGTGAGGTTACATTACAGAAACTCACAGATGATGAGAAAGCCATCCCTGTACCAAATCGCTCTACTTACACTCTACTTAGAGTCCAAAGCCTTATATGCTCCCAGATGCCTACAGGCCCTGCATCCATGCTCCTTGGATGAGGAATTACAAACTAGGGAGTAAAGGAGAAAGAGGCTCTGTTCAAGTTACGATGTTCCCAGAATTGCCCTGTCTTAGTTTTATCTAAATCCCTTGTAATTCCTGCTTTATTTAAGCTATAACAAATAAGCAAAGAAATTTTATCAGGGTCATGAAAACTCAAGATCATGAAATACAGAATTATTTGGAATATTATCAGGTACATATACATATACATATATATATACACACACACACACACACACACACGTATATTAAAGACAGCATAAATTAGTGCATTTTTGAAAAAGTCAATATATGGATGTTTTCCTATCCACTTTTTTCCTTACTAGAATTTTCCCTGTAGCAAAGGTAGGTATCAGACACCAAGTCATTGGTGTTCCAAGGTTTAAATGCAGGCATTTTCTTCATATACTACCATCTTAGCAGCTTCAGTTTCATTTCTGGTAACCTACAAATGAGACATGTGGAGACAACCTTCCACACAGATAACCTTCAATGTGTACCTTTACAAAGCCCATGTTACTAACTGATTCACTCAAATGAAGACAAGTTCAAACTTGTTAGAGAACTTAGACAGGGACAAAGAACAGGATTGAAAAAAATGTACCCAAAGATGTCAGGTATATTATACTATTACTGGGTGATCAGAAGATCTTCTTTATTTTTCCTACAACCCAGTACTTATGTATGATCAGCCTCTATAAACTAACTATGTGAAAAGTAGTCAAAATTCATCTCTGCAAGTAGGCAAATTAAATATAGCTAGGGAAGAATAAAACAATCTTCATTCACAAGTATCATGATATGGGTGGTACATGTATGAGTACACATGGCACATGTACACATATGTTTTGAAAAAGTTAAAGCAGGGCAAAGATTTCCATGATGGGCCAATGAGGCAAATACAAGATGTATTGTATTCTCCCCTTCTTACTTAGTAATAGAGCTTTTGCTTTTATCCTGGCATGTTACTACCCAGAATAAAGACTACATTCCTGACCCTTCCTCAGCTTGGTATGGCCATGCGACTAATTTTGGACAATAGATAGAAGCAGGTTACATTGCCTTAAAAGGAGGATGTTGTTTTCTCTTCCTTCAGTAACCCTCCTCCATTTAGTGTAACTGGTGGCACTGTAATTTAAAATCAAAGCAAATATAGCTGAATTTTAATTTGATTAAGGTAGAGTTATTTTAAAAATACTTACAGGGGATATTGTGTCACTTTTTTCACGATTAGAAGTCAAAATCCTACATTTTTTATAAATATCAATCAGATCTACCATATTACTATTCCTTAAGAAATCATCATAAATCTTCTTAATGTCCCTATAATGGTCAACCACTTCCATATTTTCCAGAGGTAAGTCCAATTTCTCATGTAGTAAGTATTTCCATGTCAGTAGGACATCACTGAGAGCGACTGTAAATTCTCCATTGTGCTGAAAGAGGTAAGTAGCACACAAAAAAGAAAAAGAAAAAACCAGATGAAGTTGGGTGCCAGAATATTCATTAATTTACAGTTAAGATGGGAAATACAAATAGCATTTTGCTATAGTAAAGTCTAAGGGTTTGATGATTTTATAAAATATGAACAATTAAGGCAAGTTCATACATGACAAAATTAGCAAATATGTAGTATTGTTCTTTTCCTGAACTGCCCTAAATTTCTTTTACATAAAGTAGTGTGATGGGTGGATGATGAGCTGTACATTATTACTACTGATGGGGAAACATTTGCTTATGTGAATATTTACTTCCTTTTAGTTATTTTATATAGCATATTTTTAATCTCTTATTTAAAATTGCCCGTGCCAAATGAATTCCCAAATAACACAGTATTCCAAGAGTTGATCTTAAAATATCATTATAGAAATCAGGTTTTTTTTAAAGTTTCATTTCTTTACTGTTATAAGAAAAGCACAAAATCAGTACTAAAACTTAGGGGCCAGAAAATAATTTTGAATCTTACCTACTCCTAGAATAAACTGTAACAAAAGAGTATTAAAAAGCAAGGCAAGTTTCTTTCTGTAAGCTCTCAGATGCTACTATCTAGATAATGTTACTCTTTTACTTTCTTTTCATATTTTTATTTTCTATTTTCTCCCAAAGAAATAAAACAGACATAGTACTTAGATACCCAATAATATTAATCAACATGATATGTCCATATTTTCTCTAATTGTAAAGCATTTCTTAAAATCACTCATTAAATATCCACCTGCTAAATTATCTCAGTGAACATGCTAAAAGTTGTTTTTTATTTATTTATTTATTAGCTAATTGCATTCTTCATCCACATTAATATTCTAAATACTAATAATGGTGGTTTTCAAAAAACACCAGCCTTAATTCAGTAAAAAATTCCAGCTACTCCTTTCCAATGCGGCATGAGTAACAAACATGTGTAAGTTTCTTTAATATATTAGTAGGTTCTGCTAACACCAAGGTCTTTTCATTAATTACATTTAAAGATGGGTATGTAACTTAAGTAGTAAGTAGAACTATTAATTCACTGTAACCTCATCTTTATCCACTGATGGATAACAGAAAGAAATCAGCATACCTGGACTATATGCTATCTTCGACATACTAGGCTTTTCTAAATCTCTTATCTTTTATGATAACCAGCCACACATTTTCTCCTTACTATCCAAAGTTATGACAAGGTGTCCAAACTGGCTTAAAAAATTAGTACTTTACTCACCCATTTGGAGACAGCAAAGAAAATTATTCTTATTGTCCTTAGGATAAGGACCTATTATATCATAAATATGAAAGGTAACTATAGCCTAGCTCAATTACCAAAAAAAAAAGTAACTCTCAAACCTTGGATCTATAATCTAAACATGGTAACTCCCCAGCACTGTATTAAAGTTTAGAGAATGTACTTCCCAGTTATATTCCAGAAAATTTTCAAGTAGAAATTATTAAATTAATTCAGTTATTTAGAGTTTTAAGATTAAATTGCTTTACCTCAAAAATTCCTAAAACTGCTTTTAGCATGACATCCTTCACATTTGAAATAAATTAAGATTGTGTCTAATCCAATGTATAACTTATTCTCGCCCTGCCAACCATAAGTAGTTAAAGTCAAACTATGCAAGCTCTTGATCTTGTGAGAAAAGGTTTTGACTAGATTAACAATGTTTATACTGGGATTGTAAAAACATTTTAAATCCAAATAAAAAGGCACTCCAGATATCAGTTTTCATGATCAGGTGCCCACCATGACAGCATATTCTATTATTCAAACCAGTAACAACTGATTGAGAGGATATGTGGTCAAATCAGAAAATGTTTTGCTAGGAAAATGTGCCACTTGGCTAATATATGAAGGAAGTTCAAAATGTTCAATTCTTTAATTCTCCGATGGACCTAAGAAGGATAGTATTTCACAAGAATAAAATGAGAAAAGCAAGAGTTACATATTTTTCAGGGCACTTGTACTTTGTATGTTATACCAGTAATTTTATAGTTAAAACATTAGATAAAATTTACAGTTTTAATTAACGAGACTTTTTTGTTGTTAATGTTAGAGAAAAGAGAGCAGATCTACTAAAGAGCAATAATTAATTATGTGCCCTCGGTTGAATAAGATACTGAAAGCCCTCTGCATTAATTTCCTTGGTTATAAAATGAGATTGTACAGGTTAAATAATACCTAATAACTGATTAGTAATCAAAAATGTCAATTTCTAAATCTAAACCACACTAAGATTCCACCTCACTCCTGTTAGAATAGCTATAATCAAGAACACCATCAACAACAAATGTTGGCAAGAATGTGGGGAAAAAGGAACCCTCATACACTGCTGGTGGGAATGTAAGCTTGTACAACCACTTTGGAAAACAATATGGAGGTTTCTTAAAAAACTAAACATAGATCTGCCATATGATCCAGCAATCCCACTCCTAGGGATATAGCTGAAGGAATGCGACTCAGGTTACTACAAAGGCACCTGCATACCCATGGTTATTCCAGCACTCTTTATGATAGCCAAGCTATGGAAACAGCCAAGATGCCCCACAACTGATGAATGGATCAAGAAAATGTGGTATTTATACACAATGGAATTTTACTCAGCCACAAAAAAGAATGAAATTTTGTCATTCCCAAGTAAACGGATGGAACTGGAAAACATCATCTTAAGCAAAGTCAGTCAGGCTCAGAAGGCCAAAAATCGCATGTTCTCCCTCATCTGTGGATTATAGACCTAAAACAAATGCAGTAATATTGGACACGGGTCACACACTAAGGGGAGAACGTGCATGGGAGGAACAGGGAAAGGGAAGGAAACCTGAAACTTGAATGTGGTTGATGTGCTCACTGTAGAGGAGCAAATAAAATAATCTTAAACTGGCTGAGGCCACTATGGTGAAGAGGTCTGGCAGAGATGAACCAACGTGGGTTGCAATACGCATGTGCATGGAAGCAATGCTAGGAATCTCTCTGTATAGCTATCTTTATCTCAAGCTAGCAAAACTGCTATGTCTTTCTTACTATCTTTTCAAGAAAATCAGAGAACAAGAGGATGGAACAGGTTCTGCCAGGAAAGGGGAGGGGGTGGCCCAAACAATGTATACACATGTGAGTAAATGTAAAAACGATAAAATTAAAAAATTTAAATTGAAAAATGTCAGTTTCTTTTCTCTTTCCCTCTTCAAAGTAAAGTAGTTGTTGGAAGGATACTAGATAAATGCAATATGATTTTAAAGCCCAGTTTCCTCTTATTTTGGGGGTCATTTTCAAATTCGACAGTCTACCACAGGTGCTATAATTGCTTTCTATGAGGTTATAAAACCAATACCTTTGTCTATTTCATACAATGAAACATTCATAACCTTCCTAACAAGACTATATAAAGTGAAAAACATCCTATATACCATAACTGCCAGGCAGATTCAAAGCATGAAGCAATTTCCAAAGGAAAAAAGTTCAGAAATACTTGCCTCCTAATAAAGTAGTATATATTTGCCATATACTGAAGTCAACAGTCCTCAATGAACCCATTGTCAGTCAATTTTTATCAGTATAAAGCTGCTGAGAGGGATTATGTGACTCAATCTAAAAAAAGTTTCCCCCTCAAAAAGCATGTGAAAAACCTAAAACCCAAAGATTATTTTAACATACCATTTATTTTCTTCCACTTAAGCAGTTAAGACAAAGATGTCATTAGACTAACAGTTCTACTAGGTATTTAAAAAGTTTTATCATACTCAAATGAAGCTGTAAGGACTATACTTTAGGACTCTTGCTCTCAAACATCAGAGAATTAAAAACCTAAATAGAGTTCAAAGACTGAAAAATACTGGAAAGAGGTATATATGACCAACTCCATCCTTTTATTACTATATGCGACTGATGAATGCAGATGCAGGCATGTGTATATGTTGTTTCATATTGTTGAGTGTTTGCAAGTCTCACAGTTGAGGATACCTGGGCTAGCAGCACTGTATGCAAAGAGCTGAAAGTAAAACTTGAACTGCAGCCCTCCATTGCACACCTGAACACACATACATGAACTGTTAAAATCTTAGTTGCAACTCACTTCTCCTCTTCTTTCCCACCTAGAGCCTAAATTTTCACAGTGAATTAAGTGAGTTAGCAAGTAGAAAACTAATAAGCAGAAAAAGACCCTGAGTGCCTGCTACATAAACAAGTCTGAATAAAAACTGAGTGGGAATGAATATTTCAATATATCAAAAATTTTACGAGAACTAAACTTTTTTCAGGATATACTTTACTTAGCTTTTATACTTTTGATAAAATATGTTCATTTCATTAAAAGTAATTCATGAACAAACAAAATTAGGTGAGTTAAATATATTCTGATTCCAGAAAAAGTCTTCAATCATATACTATACTGATTCTTAATTGTCTCAATTTTTTTTTTCTCTCTCATTTCCAGTAAATGTCACCGAGGTTTAATCTTTGGCTACACCATTCTATTACAATATCCTCAGAATCTCTTAATCAGTGTCATTTCTTCAGATTACTAAAGACGGACAATTTTTTTTTAAATGCTAAGGTCATAAAACTGGCAAAACTTGAACATGGGTTGCAATGGGGAGCAGAGAGAAGAAACCCTGGGATAACCTTCTCATGTGCAGTTCAGTGACTATAAGAAAAAGGAAGGATACATAGCTCTGAAATAAGAATAGGAATAGAGAGGTAAATTAAGGAAGCAAATGAGGTACACTATTTTAAGGAATTGATATGGAAATGGTAATGGGACATCTGGAAAAAATTGTTTAGGAATACTTAACCATACCAGACTATATCAGAAGAGATGTCTCAAACATACATGCTGGTGAATCCAAAATCAGGAAAGTGCTTCCAGTGACAGTACATGAAATGGAGCATACTGGAAGATACTGAAGGAGTTAAAAGAGTGTCACTCCAAATTACACTGCTCTTGCATATTGAAAATTTGGGTTA